TCTTGTGGGTCACTCTTGTAGCAAACTCCTGTGGGACACTCTTGTAGGACACTCTTGTGGGACACTCTTGTGGGACACTCTTATAGGACACTCTTGTGGAACACTCTTGTGGGACACTCTTGTAGGACACTCTTGTGGGACACTCTTGTAGGACACTCTTGTGGGACACTCTTGTGAGACACTCTTGTGGGACACTCTTGTGGGTCACTTGCAGGACACTCTTGTGGGACACTCTTAGGAAACTCTTGTGGGACACTCTTCTAGGACACTCTTGTGGGACACTCTTGTGGGACACTCTTGTAGGACACTCTTGTGGGATACTCTTGTCGGACACTCTTAAGGGACACTCTTAAGGGACACTCTTGTGAGACACTCTTGAGCGACACTGTTGCGGGACACTCTTATGGGACACTCTTGTGGCACACTCTTGTGAGACACTCTTGTAGAACACTCTTGTGGGAAACTCTTGTGGGACACTCTTGTGGGACACTCTTGTGGGACACTCTTATAGGACACTCTTGTAGGACACTCTTGTGGGTCACTCTTGTAGGACACTCTTGTGGGACAGTCTTGTGGGACACTCTGTGGGACACTCTTGTGGAACTCCTTGTGGGACACTCTTGTAGGATACTCTTGTGGGACAGTCTTGTAGGACACTCTTGTGGGACACTCTTGTGGGACACTCTTGTAGGACACTCTTGTGGGATACTCCTGTAGGACACTCTTAAGGGACACTCTTTTGAGACACTCTAGTGGGACACTGTTGCGGGACACTCTTGTGGGACTCTCTTCCAGCTCCCCAGATACTCCGCGTACTAAAGTTGTACTACAAGGTCGCCAGTTCTCAGCTTCCAGCTCCCCAGACACTCCACGTACTACAGTTGTACTACAAGGTCGCCAGTTCTCAGCTTCCAGCTCCACCGGACAAATCGCACTCTCGCCTGCATTTCGCGCACTCAACACGCACGATCTCCCCAGAGGGTTGCGCGCGCATGGGACAAATCGCACTCTCGCCTGCATTT